ACATCATGATGGTAAAATTTATTGCAGCACTTCAGTACTAGACTGCATTAACTTTTAACTATGCGTATCTACTAAAGTTACAAATTAACATTACACTACACCAGCTATTGCACTGGCTATTTTATACATATTTGGGGTATTTAAATCTGACTGTGTAAAGTTACTCACACACCAATTCTGCTTAAATGTAATAACTCAGAAATCAAGAGTAATTCAGCAGTAAGATAAACAACCAAGTACTGCAAGAACTACATTTGAGTTGCTGTGTTTCACCTTTGAAAAAGGAAAGGACCATAAACAGTAGCTCAAATAGAACTCCAACACGATTCGCACTGCAGCGCTGTTGTATTAGACTACACTCTCATAACAGAGTACCCCGACTATATATACACATGCACACACAAACCACGAGCGCACACAGGTAGTCTTGATGAATTTTAATTACATCAAATGAATTCATGTAAAAGTGGAAAAGGAGGAAAACACTGGGTCTCATCACTGCCAACATGTTCAACACAACAGAAGTCTGCACATGCTCCGTTTGCACTGGGCAGGTCGCAGGTCACCTATACTTCAGACAGATTTATTAAACGCTTCCTTACGGAGTGTCTTTTTAGAATGTAAAGACTGTGCTTTTACAGTTATTCTCTGGATTAGAGCAGCAATGGAAGTGATAAATGAGATGCTTCAGTGCCATTTGGTGAAATGAAAATGAAGGGTGAAGATGAACTACATGTAGGGTTTTTCTCAGGGTGTGTCTCTGCCTTATAGGTGACCTGAAACACTCCCATGATAAGTCCCTACTTCTCTCTCACACTACCTTCACTCAATCAAGCTGTCATGGCTTCCTGTCGGAGTCCATTTGGCATCCTGGCATGTTTCCGTTGAACACTGTTCTCTTTGATTGGATAAAGGAAGCGGGATGATTGACTGATTGCTCCATGCAGATTGTGATTCTTCGGACATGCTTCATGTTGTCTTTGTTTGTGCGTTCTGCCCAGTTACAAAATGTTTTATGACCATGGCACTGGGCAGAAGAAGGTCTGTCTCACTGGTTCAAGGTTGCCCTGTTGGCTGTTGTGTGAACACTGGCACTTTAATTTTAGTCCACAGAGACTAGTGCATGTCTAACTGTCCGTCACACTGAAGGACACGTGGCAGTGCAATCTGCCATCGGAGTCTTAGTGGAAAGAAAACAAATAAAAACTGTCACTGTAACATTTTCTAATAATTTTAAGTTGTTTCCTTGATTCAAGGAAGAAAGAAGAAAACAGAGAAGGAAGCCACTTTTCTCTACTGAAGTGTCCTGGGTTAAAAAAAAAAAAAGGGGGGGGGGGGGGGGGGGGGAAAGCAGCATACACTGAGAGCTACACGGTAAAATGGCCCATATGCCATGCAGACGGGTCTCATCAGGCTCCTTGAACAGGCGTTTGGCACCACAGTGACAGTGAGGGGATGGACAGGACAGTGAGGGAGAGGGGTAACAGCTTAGAGAAGCAGGGGAAAGCAAGCGCACAGCAGGATGGACGACATCTGTTACACCATGTTTTAGGTTCCCATGGAGACAAGACTGACCCCACCCTCCCCACCCCCCCACCCCCTTTTCCTCCCGCTCGCTCACTCACCACGCGCTCACAGCATGGTAGCAGACAGACGAGGGTGGGGGGGACAGGGTTTAGCAGCTTTGCTGCGGCTCCCCGCTCCTGCTTTTAGACTTTCTGCCCTCCACATCTGTAGGACAAAGGCAACGCTTATGTTACATCTGCAGAGTGATGACACACCATTTTCATTTACTTCATACCTGCGGATACTTTGAATCAAGATAAATACAATATAGCAACTTCAAAACAGCAACTAAAGAGTACAAAAGCAGAAATAAATAAGGACGTAGATACAGGCAGTTCAACTAGTATTGGCACAACATGTAGTGCTCGTCTTTGATTATAACTTAATGATAGCAGTCTATACAAGATAGGTCAGTCTCAAATATCACCTCAAGTTATCCAACTTGTGGCGTGTCAGGAGAAAATACCAAAAGGAATGATGTTCGCTTCATTCACAAAACAACCTCAAATGAATCAACTTACAGTATCAACTCCACGTTCTAAAAAAAATAATTAAAATACCCCCAAACAATCATAAACTGCGTGAAACCAAATCACTATTGCCATGCTGTATTCTGTGTCCTCTCCGTCAACTTTCACGTTTCAAACTAAAAATGCCGCCCTGATTGTTTTGGGAATGAAGCTTCATCATTTTGTCACCAGCCCAGGAGGTCAGCTTAGATCCACCAGATCATATTAATCCATTTGCAGAGGGGAGCAAACACTCCAGTGAACGTGTACACAGCAAAGAAAAACAGAAAAGATATCAAATGTAAAAAACAAACAGCACACACCATCATAAGAAACAAACTGATGAAAACCATTTTGATCACAGCAATCCAAATGAAAGTTTCAGGTCAAACAGACAAAACAAAGCCATGCAATTTAGGAGGTGAAAAGTGGGACTTGCCAAGAATCACCATAATAAACAGAAAATGCAAAGTGAACCTATTATCTGACTTTACTATGTAGAAATTGCCCCAGAATGCTTTGCTCATTATGCTCATTATTAAAAAAAAAAAAAAAGCTTTTCCTGCTGTTTTTATGATTCCTGGTGTGACTTGAACCGACTTGCTCGGTGTGTTCTGGCCTCACATGAAAGCTTTAGATAATTCTCTATTTCTTCTCATTCCCAAGATAAAATGTATCACCTCACTGCAGCAGATAATAGTATATTGTTAGCCAGGTAAAACTTATATGATGAGGTAAAAATAATGTGTGAAAGGGTATTGGACGGAAGAACAGTCAAAGTCCCGCATTGTAGAAAAGAAAATGGGGGTTAAAAAAATATTAAAAATGAAAGTAAAGTCACCAATCAGCACCATAGCAAACAGGGAAAAATGACCCACATACACCACACAGAGACAGACAGTACTCTGACAAATACATGCAGAGGAAATGGCTTTGCTCTTTATCCATCCTTTTGTTCCTCCCTCTTCAAGTCAAGTATTAAAATCAGCAAACCAGAAACCTCCCCGTCATTTAGATACAGCCGTACTCGTACCACAGAGACTCCCTCTCCTCTGGGCTCAGTGACTGATCCGGATTATTTACACAACTCTGATCCACACCCTCGCTGGATCTCACCTGGCCGTTTGATTGGCTGTGGGGGGTCTGGTTTTGGGTGCGAATGTGATGTGGCACAGGAGGAGGGTGGGTCTTATTTGTAACAGGAGGCCCGCTGATGTTGCTGACTAAGGTGGGGTTAAGAGAAAGGAAGGGGAGGTTTTTGTCTGCTGACTCACTAAAGATGGAGTCCATGAATACAGATTCTACAGTGAAGGAAGGGCCGAGGAAAGACTCAAGGGTGGAGAGGTCGGGGTCCTCCGAGCTATTGCAAGGTAAGCTGACTGACTTGGGCATGGGGGTGATGGTGGTGAGGGGTCCCTTAAGGTTGGTGCTGTTGGGGTGGTACTCACTGGGTGTGGGCTGCGAGCGTAGCCCAGCCCTGGTGGAAGCAGCAGCGGCAGGAGCGTCAACCGAAACGGGCTGCCGGTTGTCCTTGGACAGCAGGTCGTGGATGCTGGTACGCCGTGTGGTACCTTCAGCAGTGGAGATGACACTGCTGGCCCGGGGCAGGGTGGAGGAGGCTGAATCGAGCCGTTCGGAGACAGAGGTCGCTTTGCCCTGTGAAGACAGGCTGGCGCGGATCGGGGCGGAGCCTTTCACCCGTGTGCTCTCGGCCTTCCGCAGGGAAGGGCGTCCTGGTTGTCCGGAAGACCTCGGAGGCCGGTCAGCGCTGACTGCTGCTGCCTTCCCGCTGGACGAGCGCAGTATGCCCCGGCCCTTTGTGACAGTGCGTTCTTTCTGGCCGTGCTCAGAGGTGGAGGAGAGGCGAGGAGAGTCTACAGTGAGGTTCTCCTGACTGCCAGACTACAAAAGACAGCAAACAGCATTAAGGACAGAACAAATAACAATGGAAACAATTCACGTCCAACTCCAAACGTTATCTGAACTGACTAATAAAGAAGAACATGTTCGATTTTAGTCCACTTCATATGTAGGCTGTAATCCAATAAATCTAAGAACAGCACTTATAGCAGAATTTCAGGCCTCACCTCTGCAGGATCAATACCCTCATCCAGGAACTGCTGCAGGGAAAGCACCTCGTTCCCTGGGGATCCCGTCTTCCTGATCTGGGATTGGACCGCGCTGCCCACGGCGGCGGATGGGTCAAGAGATCTGCGCAGCTGCAGGGGGCTCTGGTGGGAGGAGCGTGAGGAGGTGGGCTGCTGGACGGGGCTGCTGCCGCTGCTGGACCACACCTCCTGGTCCAGACTCAGGCTGAACTCACCGCTGCTCTCGCTGTGAGGCCTGCTCAGACTGCCGTTCAATGTGCCTGCAGGACGAGGGGAGGCATGGATTACAAGATTTCTGATTGCATTAGTAGTGATCAGACTACCCCACACTTTCAGAACACACCATGCAATTTAAAAAGCATTATATTGAAAAAACAATCTCATAATTTAACTCAGATCTAATTTTATTACCATCATGACTTATTGCTTTCTACCCAATGAAGAAAAGAGAACGGCTTAAAGTTGAACCAAACCAACTTGATCACATTTTTGCGCGAGAAAAAAAAATTAATTTTTTGAGAAATGATGAGAGAAACGAGATGAAAGGGAGCAAAAGAAGAAGACAAGAGTAACAAGTGGATAGGAGCAGAGGAAGAGGAAAGGAGGAGCATACCTTTGCCCTCCAGAGGAGAAGTGAGGTGGGAGTTATTGTTACTATTACTACTGGTGGTCCTGTTGCTATGAAGACTGGAGGGTCTGGCGGCTGGGTAAGGGACGAGAGGTAAGACACATGCACACATACATTCACAGTTAGGATTTATATCTGTACACGCTTACATGTATCCACACCAACATGCACCAACGCGAGGAGTAACACGTATACGGACGCCAACACCCTGACAGAACGTCTCCTGCTGGGGGAGCAGATGGCACATGCCAGGCAGAGGGACAGGAAAGGTGGCTCAATGCCAGGCTGCAGCCCCAATATGTCCATTCAATAAACAAAGGAACTACTGACAGAGAGGGCAGGGACACCCAAATATAAGGAACGATTTCCCACCAATAAAGGGGAAGTGACTGATGATACAAGTGTGAGTCTGTTAGTAATTAAAGAGGAAATGACAGGCCATGTTAGGAACTGAGAAGGAAGACAAAGAGTAAAAGGAAAGGTGTGAAGACAACATGAACTTGCTCTTTCCAGTGCTGACAGGGACAGCCCCAACTGAAAACCAGTGACCGTGAAATCATCTCAAACCGGTTTTCACGACATGCTTGACACCAAATTAGAATTTCAAATCAACCCCAGTGTTACAGATCAGTATCAGAGTCAGAAACCAGCGGATTGCTTGTGGCCCCACAGTGATCCTCAGTCCCGAGTAACTGTCACTTACTACAGATGCTACAGGACACTCTGCACACAGCGCTCAGACCAACAGCACAACGATTCAAATGGCAGGGAGACATATACCTCTGTGGCCCTGATAACAAACAAAAAAAATACAATGCAACACACCTAAAGGGTAACATGACAACTCAATACTGCTCAAAAATAATAAAGTTTAATGAAACGCAGATGGAAACAAATTTTTTTTACAGAGTCTGGGGGAGGGGGAAAAAATCAATACACGTCTCAAACTACCATTAGTGTCTACAACATCCGATGACCTAATGGCTCATACATTCTGAGCAACATCCGGTGTGTGAGTGAGACTGGGCGTCCTTCAACCATTACAGTGATGAGGTGGGAAATGAGTCTCACTATAGTCTCTCTCCCTCTCTCATTCTGGGAACAATATCCTGTGGAACCAGTTTATTGACCATCAAAAGTGCAGATGTTTGCAGCACTTAAGCACAACAAGAGAAATCTGTCTGTAGACCTAACTTAAGGAATGTGTGCCAGTAGTTTTGTGGCTGTTTTGCAACTGGGTCATCTACATTAAAGCGACACAGACCTGATCAAGTGTTGCCTGGATCCAGATTAACTGCCCTGGATAACACCATAGCGCCTGTATTAAAGTCAATCCTGCTTTCAGCAAAGGCTGATCTGTCTCCCTCTCCCCGTCTCTTTTGCTCCCATCTAACTCTAAATCAAGCTTAATCAAAGTGCAGGAAGGCAGCCCAAAGATTATCAGTGGGACTCCTGAGGACATGACCTGTTTTTCCCCCCCTCATTTCTTGTTTAAGGGGCCGTTAGATTCCAGCCTGGTGCTGAGAGACTGCAGGCGCTTTTCTTTGACACAGTTTCGTGCTGATGTCGTGTGAAGCTTTACTCTACCTTGACTCTTGGGATCATCCAATGAGCCGGCGACATCCTCGCAGGAGGCATTGTCTGTTGAGATAAAGGGTGCAGTCATGCTACGGCTTCTTTTCACTCTGTTCTGAACAAATTTTATCAACTAAATGCAATGAGGAAATTAACACAATGTATTTCCACAAACAGGCATCCTGACCTTTGACCTGAAGCCTGTGCTTGGCTCTACTGTGACTTGAACTAGGCAGGGTGAGGGTGGCACAATCAATGGCATTGGTGGAAAAGGCGAGTTCCTTCATGCGCTGCCCGCTGCGCCTGCTGCTGCCCGTCATGTTGGCATCTCCGGCTTCAGCCCCGTCTAGATTCTCACTGCTGCCCGCCCACTGAGCCTCAGGACCGCCTGCCATTGCCATGGTCTGAAGCAGGTCATTCATAGCTAGGATGGATGGGTTGGCATGAAGAAAAAAAACTGAGATTAGACATTTTAATACATATAATCTTACCTCAAGTAATGGCTCAGGATTTATAGCCATTTTATCTTAAAGAAGTCTCAATTTAATCCATCTAGACTTTAAAGGCAAACTAAAATCAGAGAAACTGGTCGCTAAAATATGCTTACGATGGAAGAACAACCTTGCAAAGATTTTTTACAACTTTTTTTCGTACACAGGACACTCATCTAGGTCCCTCTTGGAGACAAAGGCTAAGTTACCATTGGGAATGTGGCTAGAGACATTACAGGAAACAGACGTGGCCTCAAAGAATCCTTCAATAATCTAAAAGGATTCTGTAAAAGCAAAGGTGGCGGTTATCCCGCTGCTGCCCCAGCAGAGCCAATCAACTGACAAAATGGAAAATACATTATCCAATCATGTTTAAGTTTCATATAAGAAAAGCACATCTCATTTTCATTATCTTAGCAAAGATGCGCTGTAATACTGTATCATGAATTGGCTGTGCTGAAACGAGAAGAGCACAGATCATGTGAGAAGTTGTGTCAGCACTGAGCCATTAGCAAAGCTGTAACGTTGTGAAACTGTGCACAGACGGAACTATAACTTCTCTCGGCTTTCATTTAGATGATAGCAATAAACATCTGTACAGAGGCTTTTCAAAATGGCTACCCAGTGCTGAGACTTGCTTCTCGAAGGACTCTGACAGGGCAGATCTAGACTATAATTATCACTGGATATAAGTCAATATTCAATAATAAATTCATGCTATAGAATAACAGGTCCAAGCCTTTTAAAACTCAATGTACTTGCAGGCATACAGCATTATAATAATAATATTTTAAAAGCCAACAACATATCAACCAAAGTGCACGGTCGGTCACAGCCAGACACTTTTTGACATCCCTGACCGTCTCTATGCACTTTGATTACTGAGCCGACAGCGAAGAAGAAGCATGGAAACATGCAAAGCTGCTCTGAGCGACGGCGGTGGTGCTGTGCACACACACACACACACACACACACACACAAAAATAAATAAATCAGAGCGAGGCAAGCCCATGTCAGCAGAATAAGATCTGAAATGCAGCACGCTGACAGAAGAGAGACAGACAGACTGAGGGAGAGAGACAGAATAAAGGCTCCATTTCAAGTCCTCCATGGTGAGTGCGAGCGATGATCAAGCACTTAGTGGTTTTCTTTGTCATGCTGTAATCAAAGACGGGAGCACACATTTCTCAGGCGCATGAAAGGCAAACCCACAGTCTTTCCCGCTGTCTCACCTGAACACACACACACACACACACACACACACACACACACACACACACACACACACACACACACACACACACACTAAAACCACAAAGCACACAAGAAAGCTGCCCATTGCACATTACTGTAAGTGACCAAATGACATGGTTTTGGTCCAGAGGTGAAAATCAAACAAAGGACAACAGAAAAAAATTAATCACCACTGTTCCTATAGTTTAGCCCTAACAAACACTAAAGTTAGTGTTAAGGTTGTGTTAATCATTCATCTGCAAATAGTGAGAGTAAAGTGAGTAAAGACTTGGAAGATACTCTACAGGAGAAAGTGGCGGCGGCAGACATGGCGGCAGAAGTGATGGGATGGGTGGGGATTACTAGGAAAAAATTTTAAGGATAAGTCACTGATGTCACCAGGTATAGCAGAGCGGCAGGGGGATGGGATAAATTCTATAAAGAATTTAAAAATTGATCCTCTGGTAGGTCCTTTGCGGACATCTCTAAAACATGGATGATAAAACTCTGGAGTTTTAAACACTGAATTCTGCAGATGTGACTGAAAACTGAAGTCCCTCACCGCCGCCACCCTGACATCAGTGACTGCTCCTCCTTTGTTTCTCCTAGCGCGACAAGAGGAGGGAGAGGAGGCAGATGAAGGCTAGCGTGGCAGCTAACAGAGATCTTACACATGGAGCGCCGGTAGATGGCCTTGGCCTTGTCTTTGTCCTTGGATCTGTTCCTCATGAAAGGCAACCTTTTTATAGCTGTCCGATCACAGCCAGAGACAGACAGGTAGGGAGGGAAGAGAGCGACAGAGTAAGACCAGGAGGGAGGTGAAGGAAAAGCAAAATAAAAGAAAGAAAAGAAGGGCAGAACAGAGGGATGTGGTTAATGTTGTCACAAACAGAACCAGGGGAGAGAGAGCTGAGCTCCTGGACACCTTAACTGGACAACAGACAACACTGCAACAGACACAACAACAACTATAATATATGACTTTAAAAACATGTGGATTATAATATTAGAGAGCCTATTAGATGGTTAGTCAAGTGTAAGGTATTTCAATCTATACAAATTCTCTCCATATTATTAAAAATATACACACACACATTATTGGATGCCCTTTGGATGGACTGAAATGCCTTCCACTGACTTTCTATATGTTCTGTATTTAAGGGCAGGCTTTTGTATAAAACTACATTGTGTAAACAATAGAAAAACAGACACACATTATGCAAAACACACACCGTCTCCTGCACACAATCAGCATCATCCGCACATTCTCATGTTAATGGTTTTGACCACTGTATATTACATTCTCAACTTATTTCCAGGCATTACATTCTGTACACAACACAACACATTCCACACCTAGATGAGACGACAAGATGAAAATTATTAAAGGGTGCAATCAGGAGAACAAGAAGGGGCAGGTTAACAGCAAAAAAATAGCACTACAGTGTTTCCAGCAAAGACTTTCCCAAGAACCTCAAAGAATGAGAGGTTTATAGCTGCTGTTCCAGCACACTGGACTGTGTCATTTCTGTACTGTACGCAAGTGTTTTAGCAAATGTTACTACATGGTTGTTAAAGGCTACGTTCTCTTTGTCTTACCTCTTATCTTGTGTGTTGTGAAAAACAGACTCATTACACTAACTGACAACTTTGTGCTACATAGCAGAAATGTGGCTTAGTTGTTTCTTGGAGATTACAGTTAATGTCAGTACAACTGAAAACAACCAACCAAGCCAGGTCGCGATAACCAGGCAACACATTGCACCTTTTAATATCTACGATGCTATGATACAGGACGTTTCTTATTTACGAGTGAGCTGAACAGATCGACAGGTTACCTGAGAGCAAAGCATCTTGGGATTAGATTTTTTTTTTTCCAATATTTAAACCATGAGGTGCACTTGATTCAGCTCGACCTTGAGCGAGTATGCTGGCAACATAGATGTAGTCCAAATTATTCTGCAAATTCCAAGATATTAAATCTTACAGCTTAGCAAATGACAATGACTCCAGTGACACGAAGCGAAAGTGTTACAGCGACTTTTCTTCAGAAATTGTGGACATCCCCTTGAAAATGTTGCCAGTAACTACATAAAATAGTACTATTCTTCAGTGATTGAGTTTAATAGCATTGGTAACAGCTGACTGAGTGCACCTCAATTTGTTTCAAACACAAGAAATGCTTCTGCATCTTTAACCAGGTCTGAGGTCAAGAGTCAGCCTGCACAGCTCAGCCGTAATGTCTATGACAGCTGAGTGATATGGACAATGGACTCACAAAAACATGCCCTGAAAGACGTGACAGTCGGGTCACAAACCCCTCCCACCCTCCCCATCCGCAGCATACCATTGGAGGAACCCTGCACTTGGGCATGAGACTGCTGCCCTCTCCTCCCTTTGCAGAGAGATATAAAGAAGCAAAGGAGCAGTTAGGAGGGAAGACCCATTCAGTCACTCAGGCATACAAAGCCACACTCACAAAGTAGACCATTATGTGTCAGTGAAGAAAGTTCAGCATCAAATTAAAGCTGTTAGCAAATGTTTCACTAATTCTGTGTGTACTACAAAACAGTATTTTAAGAGTTTCCCTTCTCTTTGTAACAAAAAAAAATATTGTGAACACATTAAAAGAAGTTCCTTCAGTGATGGTTGAAACTATAACAGACTCACTGCTGCTCATGTGTGAGAGCGTGTCATCTAGCGAGTTGGTGCCCGAGCCTATGGATGAGCTGTCCTGGCTGTCCTGGGGAAACATCAGAAAACTGTCTCCAAACTCTGATCGAGATGGAGTCAGTGTGAGAGACCGGATCCTGTCCCGGCTCTTCGGCTTGATCAGCTTCTTCATCTTTAGAGTAATCCAGTTGCCGCGCCTGTAAAGCAGAGATGAGACAGACACTCAATAACAGACGAACAAAAGGAAATAGAATTTTTAAAAAATCAATACATAATCATATAAAGGATATATAAGGCTAGATGCATTTTAAATTTTATTTTAGGCCAAAAGCCCAAATGACTATCAGGGTTAAGAAAAAAAAATGTTCACTATACAGCTGTATGATGCTCTGCAGGTAATAAATATTTGATGCACTCCCTTCCTGATGCTGCACTGCTTTTCCATCTCAAAATACAAGACAGCATGTATGCAGAACTTTACCAATTTGACTCAATTTTATGTCATTTAAAGGAAACAAATTATGCACCTGCGTGGAGGTGAAGGGTCATAGAACTTGTACTGGTCCATGATCTTCTCCTCCAACTTCTCCTTCTGCCTCCTCAGCTCGTTCAGCTTATCTCTGAAGGTTGGACAATGAGAAGATAAAAGCACAGTAAAAGCAGACAAGAATGCATACACTCTAAACATAAAGGCAGCATATTTGCATTTACAAACACAGATACATGGTTCTGGCATATTTCTTTGTGAGTTTTACATGTATTGTCTTTGCTCTACGTGGAACAGGTCCTTGCTCTCCATGGTCTGCTCCAGCAGTGTGCGATTTTGTAACATCAAAGTCTGGATTTGATCTAACAGGTGACGGTTCTCTTCCTCCAAGTTTCCCTTCAGCTGGCTCAACAACTAACACAAACATAGACAGATACATTCATATTTGGCTTTAGAAGCAGTGTTTTGAAATATGATACATTAAAAAGGTAGACACCATGAGAAAAACCTGAAGGGAAGAGAAGAGAGACTCATTACCTCACACTGGTTGGTTAGCTTGGTGGAGGTGATGTCCAGCTGCTGGTACTGCTCCTTCAGTTTAGAAAACTCAGCCTCCAGCTTGGTTTGGTCCAGCTTTGCACTGTTCAACTGGCTCTTTAGGTTTTTATGGTCCAGCTGGAGATTTTCATTGTCCTTCAAGAGCTGACGATAGGTGCTATTCAACCTGAGGAGAGAGAAAATCGACTCCTTGGTATACGGCCTCATTGATTTAATTCAGTCCCTTTGATAAATTAGTGCTAATGTGAGCATAATGTTTAAGGTTATGGAAAAAAGGTTGAGCTGACCTATCATTTTCCTCTTTGAGCAGTTTGTACTGGTCAGCTGTAGCTTGGTGGGTCTGATTCTCCAGGGCCATCTTTTCCTGCTGCTCCTTCAGATTCTTCTCCAGCTCCTCCAGCTCCCCCTTTCTCTGCAAGAGCTGTTTGTACCTACATACGCAAACAAACACACACCTTAACACTTATGTCATTAGGTCCAGGACCATATTTCCTTGCAAAAGGCGGCCAAACTACAAACTAAAGTCACAAATGAGACTTAAGCTGTAATTAGACTTGAGCATGTGCCCATCCCAAGCTCCTAAACCACATCTCACTTGTCCTCCAAGTCCCTGTGCTGCTGTTCCAGGCTCTTGTGGGAGGTCTTCAGCCCACCGTGCTTCCCGATCAGCGCTTCATATTCGGCTGCCTGCCTCTCGTGGAGCGCTGCCAGCTTCTCGTGATCGCGCAGCAGCAGTTCATAGGTAGCTCTCAGCTCCTCTTTCTCCCTCAGCGCTCCTTCACGCTCTCCTTCCACACTGCTCTGCTGGGTCTGCAGCTGGGCGTTCTGGGCCATCAGGGATGCGCTCTGTGAGCTCAGAGTTGAGTTTTCCACCTAAAAAGAGGACAAAGGCAGAGGGAGAAAAGGACATATTACGCAAAGAGGTGATAAGAGTGATGTGTGGATAAGAACAGCATTAAGCCCCTTAAATCAAACATCAAAGAACTTGGAAGCAGTAGCTGATGGGGCTTTGGTCTGTAGGGGGCACTCTTCCCTCAACCTGGTCTCCTGCTTCAAAATACTACAAAACATCAGCATGAAAGCTGTTTCTTTACATGTTTTCCTTTATGATCACAGCAGCACCCAGTTCTCAAATCCCTCTACAGACATGACTACTGTGTTTATTCACACTATGAACCCACACACACACACACACACTCCTGTTGTTGCTACAATTTCTACCTTTTTTTTTTAAAAAAACCTCTTAACTACCTCTAGCCCACCCCACATACAAATGTCCTCAAACAGTGCCCAATTCAAAGCAACACATGCAAACAGAGAAATAGCTACTGTGTAAATCCCTCCACCCTTAAGAAGGGTTTGAATTACTGCCAAACAGGGAGGACAAGTGTAAATCCAGAGCAGAGAGCTAAGCAGCCGGGCAAGGCAACAGTGTAAACAGGGCAGTACACAGTGGAGGCTATAAAGGCACGATGCAGTGCCATCCAAGTCAGAACGGCTAACAAAGCTCTGTCGCCTACTATATGCATGGTTGCCAGCTTTCTGCAAAGTCAATTGCTACAGAACCCAAACTCTCTGTTCTCAAGAACTGAGTAGAGAGCTTCATGGAAAGGATTTTAATGGCATAGCAGCTGCATTCAAGCCTTACTTCACCAGACAGAAAAAATGGTTGGATGCAGTGGTGCAAAGCACTCCACCATTGGACTATAGAGCAGTGCAGGCGTGTTCTCAGGAGTGATGAATCATGATTCTCAGTCTGGCAATCCGATGGATGAGTTTGGCAGTTGCCAGAAGAACGGTACTTGCCTGACTGCACCGAGACAAGTATAAAGTTTGGGTGATGCGGGATTATGGTGTAGGGCTGTTCTTTGGGAGCTGGGCCCAGCCCTTTAGTTTCAGTGAAAGAAACTCTGAACGTTTCAGCATACAAAGACTTTTTGGACAATTTCATACTCCTAACTTTGAGGTAACAGTTTGGGGACGGCCCCATCCTGTTCCAACATGTATCCTTCTCTGACTTCACAAATGCGCTTCTGGAAGAAGTGTGAAAAATTCCCATAAACACTCACCAAGCTGTGAGAGGTGTGACGGGATTACCTGTAGTTTGGCATTCTGCGTCTGTAGCGTTGTATTGTTCTCCTGTAAAGAGGCCGTCTGCCTCTGCACAGCCACTATCTGAGCCTGCAGGTTGGAGTTTTGGGTTTCCAGTTGTTTGAGTTGGCTCCTCAGGGCCACCTTCTCAGCCTGCAGAGTAGCATTCTGGGAAGACGACACATGATATTAGACAGGAAAATATAGAACCAAAATTCACAACATAATTCATTCCTGACAGTATCTAAACTTACATTCCTCTCCACTTCAATGAGTCTGTCTTTGACTTTTAGCAGTTCTCTGGTTGCTTCATGGCTTTCTTTCTCCCATTTACTGACAGCCTGAGGGTCTTCCCCCACTTTAGGGGGCGAGCTCTGCACCATCCTCTCCTCCTCCTCTCTCTGCCGGAGCGCCTCGTAGTTTTTCTTCACCTGGGGATGAAAATAGTAAGTCAACAAAATTAAACATTTCAATTCCTGCGACCGCCTGTTCATGGCTCATGTTTTTTCACAGCTTTGGATTAGATTTGTGTCAGCAGGTTCAAAATACAAACACCTCCCTGAAGGAAAGCAGACATCTCCTATCGCACATCAGCCCTTATAAATAGATAAAGTGCAGACAGAAACGAAGAGTGGATAAAATAAATAATGCATCGGCCTTGACAAGTCTTCGATGTTTTCATTGTTTCTAGCGTTTGAGTGTACGAGAAAGATGCTGGGACACGCTGATCTCAAGTGGACAAGCAAGCATATTCAAGTTTTTAATAATGGGGTTTTCTTTAATGTGGCAATGCTAAACATCTGTAAATGAACAAGTTTTATATTAAAGTATTTTTTTTAAAAAAAGGAGCCAGTTGACATGGTTCAGGCATCTAGTTAGGATGCCAGATGGGAGGAGGCCTCAAGAGACAGAACAGGCTGGGGAGTTCGGGAATGCTTTGGGATTGCCCAGAAAGAACTAGAGTGTGGCTGGAGAGAATGACATCTGGAATAGTCTCGTCAACCTGCTGCCAGCACAACTCCACTTTAGATAAGCAGAAGACTGCAGACTCACAGATACAAATCCATATTTTTAAAAAATTCATTTGTTGTGTTACAAACCGTTTTCAGCTCCTGGCGAAGCTGCTGGTTAAGGTTGGAGGACTCCTGCAGTCTTGCCTCAAGTGCAGCAATTTTCTCCTCTTTGATCTCCAGAGTTGATTTCAGGGTCGACTCCAGTTTGGTTTCCAGGAGCTTAAACCTGACGATAAAGGTTCAGGTCAGTCCAGACGAGTGTTTGTTTTTGCAAAGTGAGTTTGTGAAAGAAACGCTGTTTAAAATCAAAGCATGTCATTTACACCTCACCAGACTTGATTCATTTTAAGCCTCAACTTTAGTGATTGTGCTTTGTAATAATTCTGATTCCAAGCAAGCTGACAGGCTTCTCATACGAGCTGAATCTGAGGATGGTTTAGCTTTTGTGTGCAGATATAATATTCACCTGTCGTCTGAGCTCTCGTCATGCAGGAGCCTCTCTTTGTTCAGTCCAATCTTTTCCAACTCATGGGTCAGTTTCTCAAGATCATTGGTCATCTGCTGAGTCCGCAGCTTCTCACTCACAAGCTCCTAAACACACAATTACATGCTTTTGAATTCCATATTAGCAACAGACATATTATTAAAAATAACCCAATCAAATTGGTTGCAAGGTTTATTAAAAGGGATATAAAAACACATTTTTAATCACAAATTCTTAATTTTATCAATATTTGTTTCAATACACAATGCATGGCCTCTACAATATATAAATCAAGAGGTTTGATATGTTTTGAGATAATATTTGCAGATGTCTGATAGTCTAACAGCTATTTTTACCTCTCTGAGCGTGACAAGGGTCTTCTTATCGATCGTGGCCTGTTTGACCAGCTCCTTTTTCTCCCTTTCCAGGTCCTTGACTCTTGTACAGGAGTCCCTGAAAAAGATCATCTCCTTGCCCATTGTCCGATTTTCCTTCTCCAGGGTAGTGATGCGCTGGTTGCTATCATCCAGCTTTGAGTCGCGGATCTCAGCCTGCTGCCTCAGTCGCTTGTTCTCCTTTTCCAGGAGCTTCTTGTCTTTCTCTAGCTGGGAGCTTTCCAACTCCAGAGCCTTGTTCTGGAGGAGAAGCGAATGTAATGGAGAGCAGATGGTTAAATATGATTTGGGATTACTCTTTATCTAAATGCCTTGTTTGGCTGAACTTGGACAAAGATTTGCTCAAAAGGCCAAAAATGTATACGACAAATAATCTGGGTTAATCCAACTCAGCTGGGAATCGCGCTATAACTTCAAAATAAACTAAAAAGAATCAGAGCGGCAGTACAATGCTCCTTTAGCACCAGATCATTTTTCACTTTTTTGATTTATTTAGGAGAATTCAGTCTGCTGAAACTACATTTTTTGAGCCAGTGTGACTGACCCCATTAATCAATGCCAGCAAAAGTAACAGACGCCTAGAGCTGTCCCACTAGTTGCCATATATTTGAGCTGGACAAATAACTGCAAGTTCCTCAAAATACCTTTAATTCTTTCATTTTCAGTCCATTTCCACATTTAAGCATTACCTACCTCCTGCTCCAGCTGCTCGAGACGTTTACTGGAGATCTTGAGCTCCTCCAGGTTACGCTGGAGGGACTGATTCTCAGACTCCACCTCTTGCAGCTCTGCCTCCAACTGCTGGATCTTCTTGCTGCTGTTCTCTAAAGCCTTCTGCAGGCGCTGGTTCTCAGTATCTAGGCCCTGGTAGCTCACCTGGGAGAGGAATAGCCAGATTAGGAAATTCAAATCATCTATGAACTAGTTGTGCTTCTCCCTGAAGACAACTATATGTCAGATCCCCTGTAACAGCATTCAGTGATAATAAATTACAAAACTAAAACGGATTCTTCACATTCTTAAATAAACATTGTCTTCGTTTGTGCCGAGATGGCCACTAATCTTCATTTGCATATATCTGCTTTATTTCTCAAAGAAATTTATTCCCCACAGTTACATCTCACTGCTCTTCAATCACATATGTACCCGCTGTGTGACCTGTATTACCTCTAATCTCTCAGTCTTCTTAGACGAGGCTTTGAGCAGCTCCAGACTGCGTTTCAGTTGGCTCTTCTCGCTCTCCAGCTCCCTGTTCTCGGCCTCCAGCTGAGCAGCCTTAGCCCCCGCCGAGCGGAGACTCTCAGCTGAGCGTCGAAGCTCCAGGTTCTCCTGCTCCAGTTGAGTGTTTTCTTTTTCCAAAGCCTCCAGCTGGAAGGCCATGTTTTTCAGGGTGTCCAGCTTCTTCTTGAGGCGGCGGCCTTCTGCCTCCAGCTCACTATTCTCCTTCTCCAAAGAAGCCACCTAAACACACACAGGAAACAAAGATGAGAAGCAAAGCCTTTGGCAATACCACCAAATTCTTTTCATCTTACTCCAACAATTGCTTCCAAAAAAAAAAAAAAAAATCTGAATGTGAGATAAGATAAGAGGATGAAAACTTGCAGACACTGTCACAAAATGCACCTGACCTTTTCACAGGTGATTCCAAGACTGGCAACTTTCTTCTGCAGGCTCTCGTTTTCCCTTTCCAACTTCTGTATCTGAATTTCCAGCTCTTCTGCTCTTTCTCCTTTCTCCTTCATAACTTCAAGCTCTTTGCCTGCAAAAATAAATGTTTAACAACAACTAGAATGTTTATCCATAACATTTTTATAGCACATGAAGAAAGATGAGGGGGGAAAAAAAACAAACACACAAACAAAAAACCTACCATTACTAACTTGCTGTAATGAACCATAAAAAATAATAAACATGTCACTTACGCAGCTGTTTCCTTTCAAACTCCATCTTATTTAGTTTGGCAGTTGTCTCACAGATCGACTCGTGGAGAATGCGGTTCTCTTTTTCCACATCCTTGACCCGGGCCTCGGCACCCACCTGGCAGCGCTGACGCAGAGACGACACGGTTTGGCTCAGGTGCTTGTTCTCCTGTTCGAGACCCTTCATCTGGAGAGCACATATCAGTTTTATTGAAGGCTAACAGGCAACTTTAAGATAAATTATTTACTTTTGGGTGAATTCTATGCTTAGTGACCATTTTTGCAACAACTAGCTTGGCTGTACGAGCCAGTGCTGGAGAAAGACTTTCATTTAGTTTCTTAGATAAACTCATTAAAATTCAATTGATATCAAGAAAGAAAACTAATGATGTGTTTAAAAAAAACAAAAAACCCAGAAACTTATTAGGAGTATGCAAAGCTGTTCATGTATTTTGGAACATCACATTAGCCACATCTCATTATGTTCCCAGCCAAGTGCATAGATTTTGCTGCAGTAATCCCAGTGTTCTCTCTGTGTAGCTAATCAAGGCCGGATTTTACAAATCAGACACTTAAACTAATCAAAGGTGTCAGATTTAGGTCTAACGGCTGCAAAGTCCCTGCAGACGGGCAGCGAGCTAGTGCATCTGGGCGACAGAGTGCCAGAAATCTGTTCAGTCAATAAAACATTAGTGGAGTTTCCACTAAACAGTTTTTTGGAGCCAAACGCAAATCAATTACACAAACATTGCTTTCAAGAAAACTAGAGACTTCAGTAAATTACACAGCCGTGTAGTAGTCGTGTTGTTTTAATGAAATTTCCAGGAATGAGAGTCAGTAACGGTTTTGTGGAGAGCACAGCGTCTATGTCAGAGCCCCATTTGTATTAATGTGTCTGAGACTGTCCAATAAACTGGAATGTTAATTACATTTTAAAGGCACAAAAATATTACGCAATTAGTTTTCAGAAAAGCTGCTCTCTAAATCAGTCAGTGAAGTATCATTCTTGAAAAGAGGCGCAAGGGGAGAGATTTAAATCAAAGTCAGGGCTAGCTTTCCAAAGCTAATTAGCTTTTTACCAAAAACTTTCCACTCCAGGTTATTATTTTTTAGAAAAATATCTTTTTAGATATTTTAGGCACATTCACAACTGAGTAGGATGTGACCACTCCAAAATATATTTGGATTACTGACTTCTAAAAATTGTGCATCTTATTTTTTACTGATGATGTGTCATTTCCTGTAAGCGTGTGCGTACCTGTCTCTCTGAGTTTTCTCTGAGGGTTTCCAGAGTCTTCTCCAGCAAAGCCTTCTCCTTCATCAGGTCAGTACTGAGAGATTCGGCACTGCGGAGCGACTCTCTGTCTGCTGTCAGTTCGCTCTCCAACGACTCCAACTGCAAACAATAATTAAAGCAAGTTTGCGATTTTTGTTCTTGGGAGTTTTTCTTATTCTGTTACAGAATAAGAAAAAGAGAAAAAGATGCACAGGAGATGGTCTTGCAGCATCAATTGTGTGGATGACATATCATAGTCACAAAGATGGCAATGCAGTTATTAATCCGTAACAAATGCTGAATACGTCACCTCATTCTGTCACTAATCTGCAGAGAGACACATAGAAGCAGCTGTTCACACATTAAAAGTAAATATTACTGTGGCTCGACTCTTCCAGCAGCTGCATTCACATTTTAATGTGCTCTGGCTCCTCAAGTCACTCAGAAATCTAACTCTGAATTTTCTCTTTGTGAGAGACGAACACAATTTCAAGCCTTTTATTCAACGGCCACAGAGAGAGGCTTATGTTTCTGAAAATAGCTGAGAGACTCCTCTTAGCAAGGGGCACTGGTGTGTCAAACACTGGAAAAGAAAAGGCAATGCAGGGCTCCCCGGATTTATAGGTTTGCTTTCAACCTCCCATCCACCCCTTTCTATACCCTCTCTCCTCCTTTCTGTCCATTTCCTACTGAGGGAAAAGGTCTAGAGTCAAGTACCAGGATGATATATTTTAGAGGAACTTGGTGCAATATGCTAATCTGATAAAGGACATAAATTTTAGCCTCAAAAAACGATGTAGAGCTGCAAATCTATACTAGAACACACACAAAATGAACAGTGAACAGGACCTACATGTGAAACTAACTATATATCCAGTTTTTATTGGGGAGGACTTGGGGTACAGGCAGGCATTTCTCCTTCGAATAACATAATCGGAAGCATAGTTGTCTGCGTAACTTTATTGAGTCATTCGACAAACATCAGATATGTTTAATCCAAACAGAAAACAGGAATTTACTTTCAGCTAGTTCCCAGAGAGAACAATAATAAAATATGACGTCAATTCTTACTTTCTTGCTCAGCTTCTGGTTTTCCTGGTTAGCTTTGACCAGTTTTGTCACAGTGTCCTGACTGGCCGCTGCTCTGAGTTCCTCAACCGTCTTCAGCAGGGTCTGGTTGTCTTTCTCCAGCTTTAGCAGACGGCTTGACGTTAGCTCATTCACCTCCTCCCCCAGAGACTTCTGAGGGGCTGAAAAATATGGATTACAAATAGCAAATGTTAACAACTAAATCCAAAGAATTCTGTTTTGATTTTTGATTAGTTCGTTACCAGGCCTCTGGAGAACTTCAGGACATGTTGAGGAGCTAATTTAGCCATTTAAATCAGCTGTGTTGATTCGAGGACATCTAAAACCTGCAGGGGCACCGGCCCTCGTGGACTGAGATTGCCCACCCCTGCACTATGGTATAACTTTACAGGTCTTAAAGCCTTTAAAGTGCCATTTTAACAAACAAACTCCCACACAAAGTCTTTATCCAGATCCCTGTCTTGTTAAACCTCTTAACCACTCTTATAATCCAAACGCACTGCTGATCTTTCAGGAGCGCTTGAATATTACTTACAGGTCTTAACCAAGTGGAAAGAAAACCCAGTGGAAGCTGACAAATGCACAAGGGCCATAGAGAAGACACCAGGATTAAGAGCCAATGACCACAGTCTGATCTGTCGGGCCATCTGAACCCTTAATCTTGGTGAACTCAGGTGACTGTCAGCAGCATTTTAACTCAACATGCTATTTTTCGACTTTTCAACTCCGTGGCTCTCCTCTAACCTTCTGTTAGCTCTGGTGTCTTTGATAATTGTTCCAGCTCCCATCCAAGGTGCAGGGATTCATCCATGCTCTGTTTCTGTGCCATCTCAAGCACAAGGTTCTCCTCTAACAGCTCCTTCATTCGCTTACGGTCCATGTCCCGCTCCTGGGTCATTGGGGATATAACAAAAGTTTTCATCACTATTTGTACTTTCCAAATAGTACCGATACTGAAACACTGAATTAAAAAAACGGATCATCATACCATCTCCAGGTCGTGGATCTTTGATTTGACCTGTAGATTCTCCTTCTCCAGGAGATGTAATTTGTCGGACCGGGTCCTGCTAGCATCTAGCTGCTCCTCCAGCATCGTCTTAGTCTCCAGCAGAATCTGGTTGTCCTCCTTCAGCTCCTACAGAAAAGCCAGCAGGTAATAAAAGGTGAACAACAAAACTACAACTTGGACATGTGCTCTCTTTAAACAAAAACGTAAGATTTAAATTAATATATTGCATAGACTGGGCTTACACAGTTTTACATATGCATGAATCTTTATATATGTGAATGGCACAAAATATTCATCTAGTAAAGTGTTTTCTGTTAGATTTATAGTTTTTATTCAAGAGAGCACTAACAATAGTTCAATTTCTAATTCAAACATCAATACTTATTTTTTAAAAACTAGCAGTTTGCAGTGAACACAGATATTGCAGTATAGATAATAAGATGGGTCTCATACTGGTTGCATAATATCACAACACTGCCAACATAAACTAGAGTTATTAATATTTGGCTACGAGATCATGTTTGATCTGTATGTGCAGCCCTGTACCTCAACTCTGGCCTTGTAAAACTCGATGTCATGAAGTCTCTCCTTGTATCGGCTCAGCTCGCTCTCCAGCTTGTCCACGCGTATCGCTTTCTCTCGGAGCGAATCCAGCTCGTCACGATAGGCCCGAGCCGACCGAGCATCTGACAGCAGCTGATAGCTCTGTTGGCAAACAAATGTACAGCATGATAATGTGGATTCATGAAACAAAGAGCAACTGACAAAGAATTTCATGGACAAAGATGCAAACAACCAAAACATGCATTAAAGAAAAAAACAACAACAACACTCAGTGAATCTGGAATCTTGTAAAAATATAAGCTATTAGCAACTTTAGCAACTTTCTTCTGCTACATAAACAGATCAGGCCAGAATGAACTCGCCACACAAACACCTCTGGAACCACAAGAATTACCCTCATGCACCTTGTTTACTGCAGTTCACCAGTCAGCCTGTCGCCCACTCCCTATCAAAAGCCATGTGAGGCTGCTGCTTCACTAAAGATAGCTCCAATAGCCTGTAATGAGCTAAGTCACCTGCTGACTGATTAAATCCTGGCAGAGCTGCACAAACAGAGGACTTAGAGGCACAAGGAGCAGGTGGAGGGGACATGTAGTCACATGAATGTTTGTGTGTTTGTGTGCATGTAGGTGCACAAGCATGGACGTCAGTGGAGACGTTACCTCTTGCTGAAGTCTCTTGAGCTCGACCTCCATGTTCTCAAGCTCCTGCCTGGTGTCCAAAAGCTGCTCACTCTTCTCCTCTCTGCAAACAAAGGAGAAAGGTTAGCAATGGGGGAAAAGGTTAGAAACATTAAACTTTACACTGAAAAATCCCATGCCAAAGGGTTTTTGTACTTTTTGATTTTAAGTGTGGATTCCTATGTATATCAGTTCTCGGGATGCACAAGAACATTCCCTTAGGGCTGTTTCGACTTCAAAGCTTTCAGCTACAGTTAGTCATTTACAGGTGGAGCACAGAAATGAATATATGAACAAAATAAATGATCAGAAAAGTAGTTTCAGTAGGTAGACAGAATGTCAAACTTCTCTTATATTGGGGCCACATGCAGCCTACTTTGATCTTAAGTGGGTTTGATCAGTAAAACTCCCTCTGTGTCAGTGTAAAGAAGTTTAACTACACATTTAATACCTGAAACACCCAAGTTAATACAACACTAAGTTCCAGTTTTTCTACATGATAACGAAATGCTGCTGTAGTGAATGAAAGAAAGCATGACTTTACACATAAAGTTCTAGAAGCTATTTGCCCATACTGTCGTGTAATTATTAAAACAGGAAGTCTGTTAATTCACAGAAAAGGTTTAACCCCAAAAAATGTTTTTGGTGTCCTATGAAGGGCCATGGGAGAGCTCTTCATCAGTAGGAAAAGTTGTAAAATAATATGAAAATACAGTTAAAAGTCCAAAATTTGTGCCCTGTTTTAATTTTCAACGCTGCCTATCGGACTGCAGCCTTTGCCGGGCTGATCTTGGATTATGTTTGATACCCTTTAGTCTACGTAATTTGAGAAGCTTCAAGAAGTTATAAGTATTCAGCAACAGGCAACAGGAATGTAAACCGAGTTTCAGCAGTTAGATCTCTTAAAACCACCGTCAGCTACTTGAAGGCCCCGATCTGTTTCACGTGCTAGTTATGCTCAAATTCCAGCTTTGATTGTTTTTGTCTGAGAAGCTTCTTTGCAATCAGCAGTTACGTAGTCTTTAAAAAAAAAAAAAAAAAATACAAATCTTTTGATGCTCTTAAATCTTTGTGTGACATGTGTCATAGTGAGTAATATGAATCAGTTAGGTATTCAGTCCAATGTATGACTGTGCCACATTTTAGGAAATGCCTCCCAGGCATTCTTGTAACGTCGTGTCCACGAGAAAGGGAAGAATAACCCAAAATTAGGTTTTCAGTTGTGCCGTTACTGGGACAGACGCATAAAAATATCCTATCGTGCCTGGTGTGTATGACCTGTAGCTGTCAGGAGCGTCTTTCCTGCGTCTTGCCCTAAATTTGGTGAGTAATAAACAAACCGATTCTGCTTGACAGCACATTTTGAATAACAGCCAAATGAAAACAGTCACAGACAAATGAAAAACAGAGTTCAAGAGATTGCATGTCAATCTTTCCCTGAGACTAAAACCCCTGGTGCACTTTGGAGCCAAAAAATAAAAAGAGTGACATAAAAACTGGGATGGAAACTACAGAATTCAATTCATTACTCTTTTTTCACATCAACAGTTGGGTCGATCTACTATCCAAGACTGTTCTGTAACATTTATTTCAATGACAGTGAAGTAGGGCAGCCTGACATTTGCTGTCTGTGTTGCAAATTCTCCCAGCTCCTTCCACAGAGGGTAGCTTTGAAGGAAAATAACTGCATTCCTGAGATGCTGCTCTCTGTGTGCATGTGTTTGCATGAATCCGCTCCACTGAACATTTGATGGACTATTTGATTACTGCTCTCTGGAGTCTCTGTCCATCTGAATAATAAAAAGCATCCTTTAATTCAGGCATTCTCGTTCACCTTCTTTCTTCTAAGGTTCACGTTATTCTGTTTTCATTTCATCAATTAACTCCCTGCCAAAAATCAAACACCTGTCAACACCACCCACGGAGATAGTTTTGGACTCTCATTGTGAATGCATTGCAGTCTGGTGCTTATTTGACTGGTTTAACACGCCATGCATGCACAGACAAACAGTTGTGTTAGTTGCCATATTCAAGAAGCCAAGAAACAAAGAAACCTTTATTCTTAGTCTAACAAATATCTAAATGTCCTCCATCTATTAGTCTGGTGTTATTTTCATAGCTTTAATTCTTTGTCATATAAAAAAAGAAGTATACTCTTGTCTAAGAACAAACAAAAGCATTCTCAATAAAAATACAGCTTTAAAATGAAAAGTTAGGACACCAAATATGGTTATGTTGAAAGATTTGTTGTGCTTTTCAATCAATCATTTAGATCCCAAAATGTAACAAAATATAACTTTTTACTTTTCAATATTTCTATCTATATGATTCTAGAACAGTCCAAATTTATATATCTAGGTGAAGCTGTAATACCTCTATATTAAAACTAATAAGCTTTTGGGGGCAGATAAGTGGAAATAGCACAAAAAATGAACAAAAACAGACCACTGTGGAAACAGTGAAACATACCCCCCAGCTCTGACCTGGTCTCCTTCAGACACAAAAAGCAGACACACACTTATATGGAGAGACACTGTCTGTGTATGTGCCTGCATCCATAGACACAACAAACAATCTTCCTCTCCCTTAAAGACGGCACAGAAATCATGTGACCAGACTACATCAGAATGGACAGACGGACCTTTTTGTTCCTTGTCACAGCTCATCACATGGCAATAACCTTTCTATCACAGACACAGCAGCACTATAGCAGCACTATAGCAACCAACAAACAAAATAAATCTTGCTCTTGTTGTATTGTGCCCCTTTTTAAGTTAACTTAAGAGATTATAAATGTGGGTCAAGGAAGGAAAGATAAGCGAAACGCCTACAGTGATTGATGGCGACCCATTCCCGCACAAGAACTAAGACAAATTAGTTTAAGATCATTCAAGGTGAGATGTTTTTAATGTGACAAGGAAGTGGCTGATCTGCACCTCAATCTAAGATACAATCAATTGTTGAAGAACCATAATTTAGTCCTTTAGTTAGGCCTCATACAAACATTTCGTTTAAACAAAGGAAACAAAACAACGCATCCTTCGACAAACGGGAATCTACCCTTTTGACTAATCAACAACCTGTTTAAACTGGAGTGAGTCGACAGTTAAAACTGAGAATGAGGCTAATCCATGACGTAGCACATTAGCAAATATTGCCCTATAAGAGACCAAAACCCTTTAGAAGTGATAGCCTACATTATACATTAACAAAATGTGAAGATTATATAATGTGAGCAGAACTCACATCCCAGATCTAAATCCTTAAAATTATTATTTGGTAAAATAAATATATTTAACATTTCAATAAGAACACGGACAGCAGCTCACACTGCATGAACAAGCCTGCAATGTTTGTCATTTGTTATGGAGTTCTATCCATGTAAATTAAGCTTTAGCTGGTAGGTAGTTGGACTTCTTTTTCTATAAATTTAAAAAGTGCTCAGGACTTTCTCTGACTCAAAATGGGTCTTTGTGTAATAGATGGCTGTCATTTCTCTTAATTTGATAAAGAAAACGAGGGTACGCTTGACTAAATGAAACATACATGAACAAAACTACTTGAGTCCTGGTGATTTTCCCCCAAGTTAACCTCTTTGCGGTGAGCTAACATTTTTGTCAACACAGGGCTTGCACTCATTTAAATGCTGTTATGGTGACAGATTCACTTCTTTCCAGCAAATTAGATCCACTCAAGTGTGTAAACAATTTCCTTGACATAGTCTATGTCAGGACTGATAACAGCCTATCACAGGAATCCAATTCATGATTATTTCAGCTGGAACAGAAAACATGAAAATCAACCTCTGTAGAGTAAAACAGTTCCTGCAAAGTCGTTAAACAACACCAACTTCAAGGCACCAGCCAGTCTGTCAGGACAGGTACAAGTTAAGTTCATTCGTGCAGCACTACAGGGAGTGCAGAATTATTAGGTAAGTTGTATTTTTGAGGAATAATTTTATTATTGAACAACAACAATGAACCCAAAAAACTCATTAATATCAATTTGGAAGTAGTTTTTAGTTTGTTTTTAGTTTTAGCTATTTTAGGGGGATATCTGTGTGTGCAGGTGACTATTACTGTGCATAATTATTAGGCAACTTAACAAAAAACAAATATATACCCATTTCAATTATTTATTTTTACCAGTGAAACCAATATAACATCTCCACATTCACAAATATACATTTCTGACATTCAAAAACAAAACAAAAACAAATCAGCGACCAATATAGCCACCTTTCTTTGCAAGGACACTCAAAAGCCTGCCATCCATGGATTCTGTCAGTGTTTTGATCTGTTCACCATCAACATTGCGTGCAGCAGCAACCACAGCCTCCCAGACACTGTTCAGAGAGGTGTACTGTTTTCCCTCCTTGTAAATCTCACATTTGATGATGGACCACAGGCTCTCAATGGGGTTCAGATCAGGTGAACAAGGTGGCCATGTCATTAGTTTTTCTTCTTTTATACCCTTTCTTGCCAGCCATGCTGTGGAGTACTTGGACGCGTGTGATGGAGCATTGTCCTGCATGAAAATCACGTTTTTCTTGAAGGATGCAGACTTCTTCCTGTACCACTGCTTGAAGAAGGTGTCTTCCAGAAACTGGCAGTAGGACTGGGAGTTGAGCTTGACTCCATCCTCAACCCGAAAAGGCCCCACAAGCTCATCTTTGATGATACCAGCCCAAACCAGTACTCCACCTCCACCTCGCTGGCGTCTGAGTCGGACTGGAGCTCTCTGCCCTTTACCAATCCAGCCACGGGCCCATCCATCTGGCCCATCAAGACTCACTCTCATTTCATCAGTCCATAAAACCTTAGAAAAACCAGTCTTGAGATATTTCTTGGCCCAGTCTTGACGTTTCAGCTTGTGTGTCTTGTTCAGTGGTGGTCGTCTTTCAGCCTTTCTTACCTTGGCCATGTCTCTGAGTATTGCACACCTTGTGCTTTTGGGCACTCCAGTGATGTTGCAGCTCTGAAATATGGCCAAACTGGTGGCAAGTGGCATCTTGGCAGCTGCACGCTTGACTTTTCTCAGTTCATGGGCAGTTATTTTGCGCCTTGGTTTTTCCACACGCTTCTTGTGACCCTGTTGACTATTTTGAATGAAACGCTTGATTGTTCGATGATCACGCTTCAGAAGCTTTGCAATTTTGAGACTGCTGCATCCCTCTGCAAGATATCTCACTATTTTTGACTTTTCTGAGCCTGTCAAGTCCTTCTTTTGACCCATTTTGCCAAAGGAAAGGACGTTGCCTAATAATTATGCACACCTGATATAGGGTGTTGATGTCATTAGACCACACCCCTTCTCATTACAGACATGCACATCACCTAATATGCTTAATTGGTAGTAGGCTTTCGAGCCTATACAGCTTGGAGTAAGACAACATGCATGAAGAGGATGATGTGGACAAAATACTCACTTGCCTAATAATTCTGCACTCCCTGTAAAATACTTCCACTTGAAGTGAAAAGTTTTCTCTTCTAACTGATCCATGTCAGCCATTAAGCCTTTGTCTGCTGGAAAATTACAGCACTTTAAAAAAGGAAACTCTATTATTCATAAACCACATTTAAAAGGCCTCTAAGGTTTCTGAGAATGACTTCACTTTTTCTTCTTTTGTGTGTGGCTCATAACAACAACGAAAGCTCGTGCAACTAATAAGTGGGCCAAGTGGAAATTGACTCTTTGGATAAATATCCAGTTAGACTGTATCCTTTTCTCACAATGAAGGTGATTGCTGATCACGAAGAATCTGATGAAGTTCAAATACTGATCCTGATGACCGTGCAACATTTTATCTGCCCAGTTCAGATCACATTTGTGACACTTGCAACAGTAGGAAACAAAATTGGCACCCACAGAGATCCATTTACAGTTCTAGCTTCTTTTTTCTGTTCCCTGTGCTTAATTTAGATAATTATTGAAAAAGCTGATATGGCGGTTGCACTCACAGTTCCTGCCGAAGGCGTCTTATCTTGGCCTTGGCATCAGCCAACTCCACAGAGAGGTGCTGTCGGCTCTCAGTCCTCCTCATACTGGGAGAGTCACCGGGAGACTGGGTTGAACAGGGAGCCAGTGGAGAGAGCTGCACACAGTCTCTCTCCTGGGTAAGCTCTACTATAGTCTGGATGGGAGCAGAAAATAGAAGAAGGTGAGGTGTTGTGTAAGTGCTAAGAGGGAAAAACAAAGAGGAGATTCACTGATTCAACGGAAGGACTCCCACCACCCAAAAACTAGAACAGAATAAAAAGTGCACACAGTCCCACGTACAGCCCATTTTGATCTACTGCCCCCGACAGGAAATGGGATTTTAATTGAAAGCGGCTGGACTACAGTGATAATCTGGAGGCTATTAGAACCCCCTGAAACACACTTCACT